CCAGTTCTGTCTTTCTTCGCTTAGCTTCCCCTGTTTGTCTTTGTATTTGTGACTGTTTTCCAGTTCAGTCTTTTTATCTTTCTTAATCTTGAATTGGCCGCTGTAGCTGATTCTCTTACTATCGGAAATCAGATCGAGAAGTACCTGAATGAAGAGTGACGCTTTTGAAGAAGCATTTTTGTATCTGCTTAGCTCTATGCTCCTTGACTGTGCAGGAACTATACTTTTCTATGTGCAATTAGTCACAGAATTTGGAGCTCCTACTCTCTGTGAACGCTTTGCAGAAAATCTTGTCTAATTTTGTCCAGTGCTTTTTTTTTTTCATTTCTTTTTCGTTATACATTGACTGGTAAGTGAACTAGGTGCTTGCTTTATTGAGGGGAGAAATTTCGATTCCTTGAGGAAAGTGCACAAGAGGATTGCCCTGAGCTGGGCATCATTTATTTAGCCACCTAAGGGATAAGTATTTATGGCTTAGGGTGGAGAGACTGTTTTGAAATCATTAGTGTTTTGTTTTATATCTGCAATTTTTGTATCGCGCCTTGAGGGTATTATTTTCGTGGATGTAAACTTTTCCAAAGCTTAAAAGTAAACTAACTGGCAATGTCCTTGTGTTTTCTACCTATCTTATTATCGTTGCTATTATCGTTGCTTGCTTGCTTGCTTGCTTGCTTGCTTGAATGGGGTGCCTTATGAAATACTCAGAATCAAGTTGTCTGGCTCCTTCCCGGTGGCACATACAGTTGGAAATTTTCGGCCCGAATTTTGTCTATGTAACGAAAGAACAAATTAATTATTTTCAAAGGCTTGTGTTGATGCTGAATTCATTTAAGAAATTAGTAAGAAATTTCTCAGTATTGTGACAGATCAAAAGGGATCACGAAACTTAAACATTGATTCAAAACTTAAACACCTGAGACGGGGAAATCAACCTTTTTGCTACCTCAGGGCTGGACTCGGCGCAGTACCAGTACCAGTACCAACGTTCCCTGTGCGTTGCCAGGCTCTGGCGCACTCCAACCCCCATGCTTTGACATTCCACATAATGAATATACTTGAAATACGACTCTTAAAGTAATAGCTGTGCCTTATAGAGTGAGTAGCAGACATACCAGGGAGCTTTCATGGTTTATTTTTGTAAATGACCACCACAATTATATTTTGTTACCTTCTCTTTTTGTTTGTTTGTTTGTTCTGGAAAGAACAGAAAAATTAGTTCTCAAAAATGCGTGCTCATGTCTTTCTCCACAACTGGAATATATGTTAACTTTAATCACTCATCAAGGCATAAAATGTTCACAAATAATGGCAATTTAAAGCTAGTTTGTCTCCTGAGAATATTTTTATTTGAGAAGTTCCTACTAACGACTTTCTCATTCATCAGTAAGTAGAAACCTGAATGGCAAAATTGTAAAGCATAGCTTTAAGTGAACTTTTTCCACCTGTTTTTGTGTCCACCCCAAAGCAAGCCTGTGTTGAAATCTTTCCAGACCGGTGTGGCTCCATGCAGCTCATCTGTGCTGAGCGCCAGATTTTAGCAGAGTAAGTAAGTATCTTTACTGCACTGACTTATTAAGCCCTTGAAGCCCTGATTGTAAAACCAGTATCACCTCTTATTTTAAATTGCTCTCTGCCCACTAATACAATCCTTACCTCCTAGGACCTCAAATCCAGTTTTAAGCTCTAGGCAAAACTCCTTGTGCCCTATTCCAGTAAAATTAAATTGACCAGGAAAACGAAGTCTCATTTTCCTTTCTATTATATTGGAACTGTAATATAAATTGCAATTGCAGTTCATAATGAAATTTATCCTGGAAATACTTGAGGAAAAGTAAATTTATAATGGTCTTCTGATTAGATATTCAAGCTTTCACAGACTCGCAAATCTTCACTCAATAGAAGTTTCTTGTTTGTGTGTTCAATTCAGTTTTCTTTGCTGTCCTTTGTTTTGCTGTGATTTAGAATTAGAGTTTAACACTATCCCCAATATTTTCACCTCAAAATGAAAGCAGATTTATCACAAATTCTCATTCTTTTGTAATTACACTAGTGGATTATAGAAGTTAAAAAGACATATTTAAACCTTTTAAACATTCTCTATTACTTTGATAAAGTGAGTCACTTTTCTGCTTAAAAGATTCAACAATTAAAAGTAATTTATGTAAAAGTTCAGATTTTTGAAATGTATAATTTAAGATATTCTATTTTGATCATGCTTTTTGATGCCCAGCACAATATGATTCTTAATGATAATTTGAGAGCATAAATTCAGTAGATTATCAAAAATTAAAGAATAAGTGGTATTTAAAAATCAGCCTTTTAATGATAAAATCTTGTTCTATGATAAGAAAGGTTGCGCTCTTCGTGGGGTTTTGCTGTTAAAATAATTTCAAATAGGAGTATCAGACAAAGTGAAATATGTTCATAGAGATCTTACTCTAATAATTTGTAACATCTTAATTCTTCAAAATTCGTTTACCAGAAAGTATCATTTATTTTGTCAAAAGGAGACAACATTCAAATCCTGAATCTTGAGTCTGTCCAGGAAGGACACACACAACATATGACCTCACTGACCATTGCCAAAGCTAAACATAATTTCTCAATTATGACTGGCATTTGTAGTTTTGGCTTCTATTGGAGGCATTATCTTTAAAATGTAACAAAGATTTCTTAATGAAGAAACTTTGGAGTTAAAAAAGCCATTCTAAGACAGCCCAATTACCATCCATTCCCATAGTCTCTATCTGGTAGTGACACCAAGAGATGTTTTGTGAAGAATATGACTGATTTTTATCATAGACCTCAGAACACCAGATTGGCATTTTATACATCCTTGGTTTCCATTAATAACCCAAAATTGATCAATATTTTAAATATTTGTCTAGCCTCTCAAGTTTATTTATTTGCTATTTTTCCATAGGCATTTTGTATAAAAACTATATATGCTCATCTACTTGAGTGATGCTTCGATTCTTATTTATATTTGTCTTTAAAATCATTACTTCAACCTTGAGTTTCCTCCCCCAGCACACATACCCATGAATGGGGGCCGGAAAAGTACCAGGAGGGAACTTGATTTTGATATTTCAATACATGTTGTAGAAATGCACATTGATCCTAGGTTTTCGCTCTCCTTTTCCCCTTTTATGCCTGTGTTTAAATGTTAAAAGTCAAATAAATTTTAAAAATATAAGTCACTTGTCACACCACCCAACCAGAGTCAGCCACTGGTAAAGTTCAACTATATTTGTGTCCAATCTATTTTCTGTGTATATGTATATGCACAGAAAACTACTAGCTGCTGTTGGATACATGCTGCACATAGCTTTTTGTTTGTTTGGAAGTTCTTTAGTTCTTGAATTTTGAATGCTAGTATTTAAGGGAAAAATGAATTAAGTTAAAGTATACTGAAAGAGTAGTAAGACACTAGAATTCTTTTTTAATATTGTTTTGTTCTTGGGGGATTTCATACTTGTATGCAATGTATTTTGATCATAACCAACCCCTGCTACACTCTAACGGTCCCCAGTCCCCTCTTACACTTCATGATGTTCTTTCTTTTTTGTTGTTTTATAACACACTGAGTCCAAATCAATGCAATGAATGCAAAAGCCATAAGACATGGGAATTCTTAAGGAACTTTTAGCTAAGGCTGGAGAGATGGCTCAGCAGTTAAGAGCACTTGTGCTTACAAAGGACCTAGGTTCAGTTCCTATCGCCTACATAGGGACTCACAACCATCCAAAACTCCAGTTCTGGGAATCTGCCCCATCTTCTGACCTCTGTGGGTGCTAGGCACACATGCAGTGCACATACATACACATAAGCAAAACACTCATAAATAAACGAGAATAAATAAATCATGCTTTTAATTTTTTTAAAAAAAGCAACTTCTAGGCAAGCAGGTAGATGCCATTTATTTGCCACATACACATTTATTTGCAAATTTAATACTTTGTTTTAGATGTATTACCAGCATTACTCTTTATTAATATATGAGGATATAGTATGTTCACCTCTGAGACCTGCAGATTGGAAAGCAATTTTAATGGGCATTATGCAAGAGTGCAAATCCAAAGTTAAGACCACACAGTCTCGTGTGGATGGATTAAGTAATAATATAGATAGATGATAGATAGATAGATAGATAGATAGATAGATAGATAGATAGATAGATAGATAGATTGCAAGGTAAACTGGGTTAGAAGATAGACTGGAAAGGAACTGATCTTAAGTCAATTCTGTTTTGGCCACCAGATTTTGTGGACATAACAAAATTGAGAAATCATGAAATTCTTACACTGTGTTATTTTGTCTTATTTCTAAACACCCTTTGTCTGAGCTTGGAATGTAGCTCAATGGTAGACCACTTGCTCAATATGTTCAAGACCCTGGCTTTGACCCTCAGCACTGCAAAGAAGGAGGAGCAAGAGAGGAACAGGAGGAGGCAGCCAAGGAAGAACAAAAACACCCTTCCCCAAAAGAATTTACGCCTTGAAACTTCCAGGCAGACAGGTGCATGGCAATAGAAAATACTGTGCATTTCCCTGGTTCCACACAATATCAGGCATATGACAGTCACATGTTAGACACTCAGTACATAATACAGGATAATACAAAGCCTACTTCATGTGCTATTGTAAGGATTAGATGGGTTTATATGTGAATAATGCTTAGAATGGTGTTTAGCATGTACTGAAGGAACTATGCACTTTCTGTTATTATTATTTCTGTTTCAACTATTTTTAATGTTTGTCTTCTTGTGTGTGTGTGTGTGTGTGTGTGCGCGCGTGTGTGTGTGTGATGTATAGGTATGTGTACATGAGTGTATGTAGGTGCACTCATACACAATAAGGTACATGTGGAGACCAGAGGGCGATGTACCTTTCTCAGTCTCTCTCCACCTTATTTTTTTGAGACGGGTTCTGTGGTTGAACCTGCAGCTTCCAGATTGATAAACTGGTTAGCCAGCAAGCCCCAAGGATCCACCTGCTATCCTCAAAGGGCTGGATCCCTAAGCATGCACTTCTGCACCTGCTTTCTCATGGGAGCTGTGACTCTGACCTCAGGTCGCCATGCTTGTGCTCCAGGCACTTTACCTACAGAGCCATCTCCCCAACCCCTTATTGTTTTCTTTTATTAAATTTCTTGCAAATCTCTGAGAAGTCATTTGTAGCAAAATAATATGGTGTACAGAAGGATGAATACAATTAGTAATAATATGTTATGTATCTCAAAATACAAGGAATATGAGTATACTCATCTTAAAGAAATTATGAAAGTTTTTAAAGTAATGGGCAATGTGAGTTGATTTGCTACATGAATTAAAACATATGGTTGTAACTCATAAATATAAGTATGTTGTATAAATATGATGTATAAATCAAAGTGCAATGCATTTTTAAATGGGGACATATAACAGTTACTATCTGGTAAACATTGTCTTACATTGGGTGTTGACTTTAACCTCGGCTTCAGAATTAAACTGGTCTTTTGAAACAGGTACTAGGGTTGACTTGACAGGAGCCTGGAGGTAAGCTCCAGCTATGTCATCTGATGTGGATTGACCTCTTTGTGTCCCCTTATTTAGTGAAGACCTAAAAAACATTGGTAATTTTGCATCATTCCCGAGGTTGCCATCTTCAGAGTCTGTTTCCTGAGCCAGCTGTTGTATTCATGAGAAAAATGTAGTTGGAATGCACTTTCAGGAGGTAATGTTAGAGAACTTTAATGTTTTGATTTAAATAAAATAAATTTATCTGATATTAGCTACTTAAATTAGCAAATTCCTTGAGTTATTGTTACAGAAATGGTTTTATCTATAAATTGGCAATTTTTCCTTTTTAACTTGAAGCTTTGCACATCTGTTCATGTTACGCACAGGGAAAACCAGTGATCCTCAAGGTAATAATTCATTTATATATTAAGCTGTGTTGTTTAGCAAACGCTCTTTTCTTTGGAAATAGAGCATTTAATTTGGAACACTTTGTAATTGGGGCTATTTTCCAGTTATTTCCTACCAGAGTAGGGCATTTGTAGGTGAAAATGTCCAGCCTTCATTCAGCATTTCTAAAGTGCCTGTTCAGTACTCAGCAGTATAGAATACAAACAAAGCAGAACTTGCCTAAAAGGGGCAAAGCAAGAATTTGACCCCAGGTCTTTTGACCATCAGACGTTGCTGTGAAACAAAGAATCCTACCTTCTCTGACATAAAACAAAAATACTAAAATATTAGCACCACCTGTTCTCATTCACCAAGATTGAATAAGTCCTACCAATTCCTTGCATAATTAATATGGCTATCAAAGAAATACAAAGTGTGCTTTATATAAAGTTAAAAGATAAATTTAAACTGCAAACCTGGGGCAAAGAAAAATTCCAAAAAATCTTTAAAAATATAGTCTTTCCAATCATAGCAACCTGTATTTACAAGCACCAGTTCCTAATCAGGTTACTCACGTAAGATGTATTTTTCTGCTTTTCAACAGAAATTGAAAATAATGTCTAAGGTTCGTGTATTTCTTTTGAAATTACTCACACATGGCCTAGTATAACGTGTTCAGAAGTGACTTCTGAAGCATTCTGGTTGTCAGAGCAGACACAGATTCAGATACCAAAGCTGCCTATTTTAAATATCTTTATTTTCTTACAGCAGAATAACAATGAATGTGTATATCAGATCATTCATTGAATTAAACTGTAGCAATTACCAAGGCAGAATGTCTCCTTGGGATCCTCCCTTTGCTGCATTTGCTGTTTATGGTAAATGTGTCTATTTACATAGTTTAGCTTCAACATTTATGTAGTAAGAAGCAAAAAAAAATCCTGTATTGCAACATTATTAGGCCTCAGCACTTTTTAAATGTAACAGTTTCTGAACTTCTGAATTTGAAAATTCATGACTCTGGAACCACCTTGAAATTAAAAGTATAAAAACAGCTAAGAAGCCTGAATGTGTCTACTTTAACATTTTCTGATCAATTTCTAGAGCCTTTTCTTCTTCTGAAAAGCATATTGTTCCTCTGTGTTTTGTAATTCCTTATTTCGGCCACAGTTAATGAATTTTGTTCATATGTAGTAAATTTATTGAAATGAATTTCAGGGGATTTGTAGTTGCACAAATGTCACTCCCTATTATTGTACTTTTTCTGACATGGCATTTTTATTCTTTAGAGCTGTTTCAGTTAACATTCATAGGCCAATTACAGTACAAAGTAGTAGCAGAATAATAGTAAATTTGTGAGAAAAATGGAACAGAAAAATGGAAGCTTGGGATTTTTTTCAGGAGACTTTTGAAAAGCAAAACTATTAAAGCTTCATTGAAAAAAAAGCTTCATTGAAAAAGGTACTTCACCTTATAGAGTAGTTAATTGGCCAACTTAATGAGGTGGAAAATAGATTATGTTGGATGAGAGGTATTTAATGAAGCAACCGTAGAAATTCTCTATACTAGAAAAAAATCCTTGACAACCAAACCTTTGTCAAATTGTCCTTCATTGTGTTCTCATTTATCTTACTTGTACCTAATGGATGAAAGCTGTATTTAAAGCAGTTGTTAAACTAAAGTTATTGATAGGAAAAGTGTGTATTCTCATTCATTTAGTCCGCTTGTGTTTGTAATAATGGTGATATAACTATGGAAATTCCGTTTTAGAGCTGTTACAGTTTGATTGTTGGTATTTTATTGTATGTGCTCAAAAGGATAAGTGTGTCCTCATTAAAATAATTGTGGTGTTATTGTTATGCATAAATTTTGGCAGTGGCTATGTAAATAGCCATAGTGTCTTAAAATTTTCAATAGCATTTTATTTTCTGTGTGTGAATATTTTACCTATATGTCTGTCTGTGTACTATGTGCTTGCCTAGTGCCCATGGAGGCCAGAATAGGGCATCAGATCACTTGGATCTGGAGTTACAGAAGGTTGGAGTTGCCATGTGGGTGTTGTGAATTGAACTGAGGTCCTCTGGAAAAGCAGTCAGTGCTCTTAACCTCTGAGCTATCTCTCCAGCCCCCAAATAGTCATACTATCTTTAAGAAATTGAAGTTCTAAACATGAGTTTAACAGTTAATTTTTAATTATGAAATTAATGATCAAGTTATAAGGGAAAAACACAGGTCATTACCCATGATGTAAAAGGGAATTGGATTCCTTACATAATAGAAGGAACTTAACCTATAAGACTTAAAGGTTTAAAAGTCCAAAAGGGGAATTGAATCCCATATAATGTTTGTTATGGGAAAAGAGTTTTCAGATGTTTCTATTTTAGAGAAGCTGATACCAATTATAATTTCAGAACAAGTAAAACTCCTTTGTCAATTTGTACTGGGGTAGTTCTCTCACTCAGTCTGTCCACTGTGAATCTGTTGGCATATAGATGGCATCCACAAGTCAACAGATTCTAGCAGTGGTGACATAGTAAATGATATCAATTCAAGGTTACTTATACCAAATTATTGGAAGTTTTGATTAAATTTACTACATTATGGAGTGAGAAAGAAGAGAAGGAGAGAAAGTCAGGGAGAAAAGGAAAGAAAGGAGAAGGGAAGAAGGGAAATTAAGGAGAGAGAGGAGATGAAGAGAAAAGGAGTGAAAGAGAGGAGATGGGAAAGAGGAAACACGAGGGGAGGGGAGAAAAGGAAAGAAGGGGAGAGAAGAGAGGAAGAGAGAAAGGAGGGAAAGACAGAGATAGGAGAGGGGTTGAGGGATAGTCTGCTTTTAAATGATATTTTAAGTTGACCAACCTAGCCATCAGAATAGACCTCAGAACAATGAGTTTTGCCCTAAATTAAGCCAATACCTTGATTACAAAGGAGAGATTTAGAATACTATAAATTTCTTGGCACTCCTGGAGAGACATTTGAAAGCTCTTAAAGAGGTGACTATTCACTATCCCTCAAACCTAAACAAATGTGTGTTTTTCCCTGCTAGATGCAATCCAGATTTCTTCATGACTCCCAAAGAGTTTTCTTTTCAAACACTTATCTCTACTTTGTGGGGTAACAATATTCAAAAATAAGAAGTCTCCTAAGAGCACTTAAAAAAAACTTGCAAAGGAAATGATGTCGACAAATTATGACATAGAAGTGTTCTTTTCCTAAAGTTCTATGTCACAAGATCTTCATTTCAAGACTTGCCTCATTACAGAGAGGTTCTCTCTTGAGCATCTTCGCTCTCTAACTTGAAAGTAATCACATTTTCCTTTCTGGTTTTTGCTTAAGTGTTTGTTTTGTTGTTCGGTGTCATTGATAGATGAAATATTTCAATCAGGAAAGAAATACAAGTTTAAATGTTTGGTTTTAAATTTTGCAATAGGTTTGAGCTGTTTGGCTTAGTGTCCAAGACAGTTAAGGCAAATTTCTGTATTTCTAACATAATTAATGGGAACTAATTAGTTCTTACAGCTATCTTTACAATCTAAAAATATTATTTGTAATTAATGTCATAAATTGGAAATCAGTTGTTTGAGCTGGATGTAAAGTGGATCAAATAGCCAATGAGTTGCTTAACTAACCCTTTATTTATGTCGTTTCGTGAGCTATCTTTGACTTCACATTAATGAAGTGAAAACAATCAAGCAGAGACCACCAACTCCATACTTGGTTCTGTCATTTATGAAGATCAATGATTACTTTATTTTTTATTCCTTTATAGTTCAAATTAGGAACAAGCTTGCTTCACTTGTCAATCCCTTCTCCCTCTCCCTCCCATCCTCCCCCCAAAATCCCACCTGCCCCTAGCCCACTCCCCAGGCAGGGTAAGGCCCTCAAAAGGGGCTCCCCAAAGTCTACCACATCACAATGATTACTTTAAATGATGTCTTAATGTAATTCTGCTTAAGTCAAACATTCCTAGAAAGGAAAATTAAGATGGATTTTCGCAGAAGTATATTGCTTTGTCATTTAAAAACATGATTCTGACTACATTTAATTAATCTGTAAGTTTCTGTTTCTTTGTTTCTTTCTTTTAGAGTATCAATTAATGTGAAAGTCAGTCCTTTTTAGACCCAATGGAACATCAATTCCCACCTATTCTTGCTGAAATATATCCGACAGTGCCATTTATCAATGGAGATCCCACGTATCCTGTAAGAGAAATTTTGCTACTTTTTTATTTGCACTATAACTGGTTTAAATGTTATAAAATCTGGCATTGGTTTTCATTTAGACTATTTGTCACTTGGAAAGTTTTTTTCTTATTGTCATTGTTTTGTTTTTTGTCTTTTCAACATTGGTTATTTTCCTTGTAGGCCTTTTGAAAATCACTTAAGACATTCAATACTAGCTTATCCTACATAAAATTTCCTTTTAAATTAGTTTACCTTCTTTTTTAATACTCTTTAGCACAACTTGAAAGACCTAGCCCTATATTGTAAAGTTTCTACTACCTAAAATTTCATAGGGTATATCTTTTGAAATTGTGGATCTAATGAAGACTAGCATTCCTTAATGCTCATTCAGTTAGTAGTTCAATTATCTAATATTTGAAAGTATTGTATCTGAATAGCAATGACTTCTATGAGTAAGACTGGTTTCTAGAAAGAAAAAAAAAATGTACTTCAAATTTAGCATTTGCCCCTTTAATAGACTCAGTAGAAGGCCTAACTTAATACATAATGCAAAAAGATGACAGGCGTTTCTTGAATTAAAAAAAAAAAGCGAAGATGGTACTTTAGCAAAACAACATGGACAGAAATGATTGAGATATATGCATACATGAAAATGTCAAAATGATGCTCATTTTTTTATTAGTGTATGGTAAGTTTTATTTCTAAAAATAACAAAAATAAAATGGTTTTGTAATCAAAATTACATTTTTTAGATGGAAAATTGGACTCTGGACCCCAATGCTATGGCAACATATTCTCATTATTCACAGACCATGATTCAACCTAAGATATACAACACATGGACTTCTTGTCCCCAATACTGGACTCAAGTATGTCTGACTTTTACCTTCAGATAAATTTTATTTGCTGGGATTTGTTTATTTGTAGAGGTTTTGTTCTAGGAGCAGATGCAGAGGAGAATAATGTCTTTCCACCTCGATGCACCTATTTTCTATGACCTTCATTAAGCTTTACTTGGGTGGGGGAGTGACCTGCTCTTACTAGGGGGTATTGAATTTCTCCTAAGTACCCATTGACCCAATTGTACTCTTCTCCTTGAGCATTTTGAAATCCCCATAATTAGGGGGCCTGAATATTATTCAAAGGGATAATAATGACTTTTTCCATAGATTTACAAAAAAGTATGCCATTAAATAATTATCTATTTCTAGGTTATATTCATTCAAGTTAACCCGGGCGAGGTCCTTACCATAAAAGCTGATGATGGGTCCGTTCAGCACATTCAAGGTTTGTTAAAATAGAATTAGATGTGTGTTATCTTACAATCAGAACGAGTGAGCCTAAATATTGTTGTAAAATTACTAACAATTCAGTAATATCTCCTACTGTTTGTGAGACAGAATACTCCTAAAATGCTCTTCACAGGAGCTTAATCAATAGCAATAGCACAAGAGCTAATCTTGCTAATCTTTCTAGAAGTCTTGACAACTAACTTTTAAAACATGAAAGCAAGTTAATTGAAGAATTTTGTTCAAAGAAGTCCAGTCATTGTAGATAGTGATTGCTACTTATATTACTTTTGACTTCAATATGGGAATTTAACACCTTACAATATGATCTGTGCTAATGCTTTTAATTCAATAGTAAAATCTTTGAAGCAGTTAATGTACTACAGGTTAATACATAGAACTATTTATGTCTGCTGAGATGTTTGACATATTTGTCAGACTGGAGAATATCAAAAGGCAATGAAAATATCTGCATATACTTTTAATGTTTGCATCAAAAAATAAGGCCACAAAAAGGCAAGCTGACATATCAGGATAAGTAGGCTACTTTTTATAGAGTTCTATCTATAATATGTTTGCAACATCTGAATTATAGTGGCATATATTCTGATCAAACTTAAATTCAAGTTTATTGAATTTATAAAGCTCAGTAGAATGAAAAAAGCTCATGAACAGAATGAAACATAAATTACTCAAAGGCAGTTTCATCACATACAATGGCCTTTCTCCTCTTTTAAAAAAGATGTGAACATATGCAGGTTTTTTTTACTTCATGTATGTACATAATGTATTGTGATCATACCTCCATTGCCCTCTTTTACTCCCCATCAACTGCTGCCCTTCCTTTCCCCCATCTAGTCTCTCTTCTGTTTTCAAGGCTGCTTGTTTTTTGTGATAAATTAAGTTTATTAGGGTTTCTTGCATGAGCATAGATATTGTATAGGAGTATGGGCATCTTAGGATTGGATACACCACTGAAGAAAATGTCTGCCTCTTCCAACCACCATTTACTGCCAATAATTCCTCAGGGAGGTGTGTGGCCTTATGAAGCCCTTCCTTCCAGGAATGATTAACTGCCTATAAATCTTCAAAGACATATATACATTCTAAGTTTTTAACAAGTATGTTGTTAAAAGGTAACATCTCCTGTTAACCACCAATCTGTACAATCTATAGCAACAAAACTAGATATGTATTATACAAATATGTATCATATATGTACCATATACGATCATATATGTATCATATATGATCCATTTTAGACTGTTCTACAGATGGAGCCTTCTGAGAGCTCATTCTTTCACATTTCCAACAGATATTTTTTTAATCCTAGCATGCACCATCATTGCACTAGATAAATGGTAATAATAATGTCCAGGAGAGAGTGCACACATGTAAAATACTGTATATAGTAAATTTATGTGTATTTTAAATACACATACAAATTTTATTATGTATAAAAACATGATCTCACTATCAAATAGTCAATAATAAAGTGTATTGCTTTATATTCATAGACTTAGTATTAACTATTTTAAATTAAGATGACTGTGTTTTTATGCTAATTGTTTTATACTCTAAGGTGATTTTGATCTAACTGCTGTGCCAGGAATGACAGTAAAAAGCCAGAGGCCCAGCAAATGTACTTACCAGGCCAGAATAGATGTAGAAAAATGGGTTAAATTGGAAATAGACACACAGTGGGCAGTTTGTAACAGAGTAAAACACTCCCAGACAGGGAATGGGATTCTTTTATACAGTTAAAGAAAGTTACTTAGTCTTACCTCATGTGTCATTTGTTGGGTCTGTATTTGGATGCATAAGCAAGCATCTCAAGATCTTGCTAAGGAGAAAAGTGTATAGTACCAGTTGTTGGGGGTTGGGCATTTAGAATAGAGCATCATGGAGCTTTACAAGTTATAAGGCTTCTTAGTAATGTAGTGGTGGTGCACGGCTTTAATCCCAGCACTTGGGAGACAGAGGCAGACAAATATCTGTGAGTTCAAGGTTAGCCTGGTCTACAAAGTGAGTTCCAGGACAGCCAGGGCTACACAAAGAAACTCTGTCTTCAAAAAAAAAAGGAATTATTAGGCTTTAAAAGGGGATATAGTCATGCCTTTAATTCCTGCACTCAGGAGGCAGAGGCAGGAGGATCTCTGTGAGCTCAAAGCTAGACTGGTCTACATAGAGAGTTTCAGGACACCCAGGGCTAAACAGAAAGACATTGTCTCAAAAAAAGAAGAATTATTAGGCTTTAAGTATTTGTACAAGGTTTCGCAAGGCACTGTGATCAGGATCCAACTAGTGAGGAGCTGATTGTTAAAATGTGGGAGTTTGCTTTTTATTTTTAGCCATTTTATCTCTAAATGTGTTCCCCAATACAGCATTAAGGTCAATTCATTGACTAGGGGCAAAGATAATCTTCAGAGCTCAGAAGGGTTAGAAAAGGGACCTTATTGATATTGGTGATAATATGTCATAGTGTTTTAAGACCATGGGTATTGCATAGAAGGTTTTAAGAAGCATGTTGGAGGGGAAGGAGGGAATGACTGTCTCAAGAGGTTGAAGGCCTAACTGTAATATCAACTTGGAGATTTCAAAGTCATTGACTCAGGAAGATGGGCACTGATGTCAATGATAATGGCAATGGCCCTGCAACACTGCCATGGCAACTCAATGGCCTTTAATATGGAAAATACCAATCATACCAGAGGTTTAAGTAAGAAAATACTGAGGGGGGAGGAAGGGAGGGAAGGAAAGAGGGCAGAGAGAGAGAGGAAGAGAGAGAGAGAGAGAGAGAGAGAGAGAGAGAGAGAGGAGTTATGTCAGTAAATGCTAGTCCCTGTGTCCTTCCATAGGAGCAATCCCTCAGATTATCTCCCTTAAATCAGATACCTGCTCTTTTAGTCTTATAACTTTATCTTGTACTATCTATAGTTGATCAGCATATACATAACATTTCTGTCCCAGGATCAGGCAGGTACTCCTTGGACTACTGTAAGCAATGCTACAAATGAGGCCTTTGGAAAATTATACTGGTCTTGAAGGACCTTGGGGGATGCTGAGATGTAGTCTAGTCCCATAGGCTAATTTGGCCAAGTATGTTAAACATAAGAAGCCATTGTGAGTGTTCTTATTCTGGTACTTACGCCTGCCATAATGACTCATACCACTAGGAAAGTAATCAGCTGAAAGGCCCTTCTAGGTCAAGAGATTCCAGAAGAGGGTACATGGAGGAGCTGGTTGAAAGAAGTAACTTGGATGTCAGGAGCAGTGAAGGCATTGGTACAGGTATCAGATGAATTAGCCAGAAGAGACATTACTTCTACATGGGAATAAGGCTTCTGAGGAATTAAAGCACTTGATGACTAGATAGAAAAGTAAGAGGTTAGGTCATTTTAAAAGGAGAAAGTTGAAGCATGAAATAAAACATTAAAGATGGAGGGCATGCATCACGGTAAGTGATAACTTCAGTCCAAGAATAGTTTAAGAAATCTCCCTAAGGTCCACACGATGGCTCTGCAGGAAAAAGTTCTTGCCATGCAAACCTGAGAACCCGAGTTTTGTTCCCAGAGCCCACGAGCAGAGCAAGAAGAGAACTGACTTCTGAAGTTGTCCTTCTGCCTCCACCCAGGCATGCCTGCACTCACACATACACATATCATTCACACACATAAAATACATACATACATGCATGCATACATACATACGTCTCTGAAGGAAAAAGTCTAGTATGAGTTCCCTAAACTGAGTTGGGTCTTGTAGAAAGAATAGCAAGGGAATATGAGGAAAGAACTTGTAAAATGATATCACAGATCCCAGAAAAGCAAGAGAGAGAGAGAACTAGCTACTCCTTGGGACCTAAAGGCATTAAAGATCTGTTTCACATGGGTCTTGATATAAGATGAATCAGAGACCTCTACGAGGCTCATGGAAGCAGACCTTTTGAGTTTCTAAGGCTGGAACAGTGTTCACTCTGGACAGATAAAGCCATGTGAAATAAGCATTATAGACTGGCTACTTTTGGTGGCATGTGTAACACTTGATAAAATCTGGTCCAAACAACTTCAAAAGGTCTTTTAAAAATGTGGGATGGCCTAATGCATGAACTGGCTTTTTGGAACCCATTCCCTATGGAGGGATACCTTGGTCAGCCTAGATACAGGGAGGAGGGCCTCGGTCCTGTCCCAAATGATGTGACAGACTTTCATGATCCCCCATGGGAGGCCTCACCCTCTCTGAGGAGTGGTTGGGGGGGAGGTAGAGGGAGCAGGAGGAGGCAAGGGAGAGGGAACTAGGATTGGTATGTAAAATATAATTGCTTTTAATTTAAATTTTAAAATGTTGGATGGTCTTTAAGATAGGCTGAATCCCCTTGGTTAATGTGAGAAATGGTCATCAATTTATAAGAGTACTGGAAACTCAGCAGTATGAAAGTTAGTTTATTTCATGACCTTGCAAATCTGAGTGTGCATCAGCCTGGAGTGGCAGATTCGTTGATTAAACACAGAAAATGGTCTCTATAGCCCTAACACAGGCCTCTCCCTTCCTTTCCCCTTTGGCTGAGTAACCAGGAGGATGCAAACTTACATATCATCTAAGTGTTACATTTCTCTCTGCCACTTATCATTAGTCTTTTTCTTAACAAAAACCACGTGGAGGTTCATCTAGACATTTTACATCTTGTTTATTTTTAAACTTATCAGGTATGTGACCTTGTGTTTGTGACTTGATGGTTATTAATTTTCTGTTTTTAACTTCTAGTTTGGGTGTGTGAGATTAGCTTAGCACAGTGCAGGTTGTGGAGGGGTGCAAATGTTTAGACTAACAGACTCCAGGAGGGATCCAGTGTTTTCTGTTTATCTGTATTTCAACCAATACTGGCTCAAGACAATTTTGTAAGCCAATATGAGAGGATGATATTTAAAAGGTTAGGACAGGTTTGAGCTATACTTACCTTGGTAGTGAAGGACATCCGTGATCACCTGCCCCAGTAAT